TAACGGTAGACCATGGGTGCCGCATCATCCCCACCCACGCGAAACAGCGCTACACGATCCTGACCCTGACGGCATCTGCAGAGACTGCCACACACCAACAGCGTCAACTAGTGCAATCGTTGGTCGCGGACTCACCGCCACCGCTGAAGCAGAGTACCACGCGCCGCCAGAGGAAGGAATATCACAGCTAGAGCTTGAAGTCACTACGCGAGGCGTGTTCGGCACGCCAGAACACCCTCTCCTTGGACCCCCCTCCCAACACCTGCAAGGAATGCTGCCCGGCACTGGCGTCGGAACCTTTGATGCGCATGGCGTGCCGCGACCCTACACCCACGAGAATTTTTTGGAAATCTACTCTCATTGACGCGACTCGTCGAGACTTACCTTGGAGCAGGAAGAAGAACTGGCGCGCTGCGAAGCTACAGAGCTCCGCCAACAAAGTCTCGCCGAAGCACGCGGAACGTTTGTCTGCGGCACGTGGGGAACCGAAGCGGAAGAAAGTGCCTCCAATGAAGGAGGGTGGGGAAGCGCTGGCGGATGGGGAACGAGCGACACCGGCGGTTGGGGAAACAGCGGCGGAACCTGGGCCAACGCACGTGGTGGATGGGGCGCTGCAACTAGCGCCAACAGCAGCGGCTGGGGGACTTCCCGCGAAGAACAAAAGGGGGGAGAAGAAGAAGCAGATGCTCCTGCAGTTGTTCCCCTTGGTCAACCACCCCGCCACGTTCCACTCGCATTGACCCCTCCTGACAACCCACCGCACCGCGATCCCTGGGACACCATCGACTGGGGCAACGAGCCGTCGACCCTGTGTCGCACCATCTACGGACACGCACCTGAACCACGTGAACCCACCTTTGTCCCCGGAACCATCCCTGGGACCAGTATTCCCCTCTCCGAAATCCGCGATAGGGAGTTTTTGGCGCTAATGATGACCACCACCAACGACGAAGAAGAAGCAGCAGAAGAGGAAGCAGCAGAATCTGCCCCTGTACCTGACAAAGATCCCGAAGAAGCTCGCGCACGCTACATGGACACCTCCGGCTTTCGCGCTGACGATGCACGTGGAGTTGACGACGAAATGTACACGCTTACCTTCATAGACGCTGGAACACACCACGTGTGGGTCGCAAACGTGGAGTCACACGACAGAGCCTACGAGGTATTCCGCCTCTGGCTAGCACACGCGCAGCGGCAGTCAGGGAATATTTGGCAATTTGACGGCGCTGCAGAATTCAGGAGCAAGCAGATGCAATATTACCTGTCGTGAAAGGGGATTGAGCACCACATCTCTCTCCCCTACGCACATCAATAGCAGGGCATAGCCGAGCGGGTGAACCGCACGCTCATGACGAGGGTACGGGCACTGATGAAGTAGTCGAAGCTGCAACTAACCTACTGGACCTACGCGATGCACCACGCCGTGGGTGTGCACAACTTGCTGTCAACCACCGCCATCACCGGCAACTTATCCTCGCACGTGAAATGGACCGGGACTAAGGGGGACTGCCCTTAGCCAGAAGACTGCCCACGATCGATATGTAATCTTCTACGAGCGCCTCTTCCTCGACCAGTTCCGCCACGACAAGCAGACGAATGCAAACCGCGTTTACGCAAACGATGGGCACAGCTACGCAACGCCCGAGGACAAAGCTTCAGCAGCAATTATGGAGTAGGACACCAGGAGCGAGTTCACATGGGGAGATCGCCACAACGACGACAACAACGACGACTCCTCTGGAGGAGGAATAGGTGGAACAAGAGGAAGTGGCAAAAGGCGCAACACCACCAGTGCCACCTGAACAAGAGAGCGATGACGACGACGTGTAGGAAGTTGTCCCGCAACGTCGCCACGACAGCACTGTCTCAGGATTACAGCTGCTCGAGCTTCACACTGCAACCTCTAAGGCGCCACGAAACCCGCGCCAAGCCCTCACTGGACCACATAGCAAGGAGTGGCGCGAGGCGATGGACACAAAGATCAAGGCCCTCGAATCCAGAGACACCTGGGTATTAGTCAACCGTGCAGCAATCAAGGGTGCAAGAGTTCTCTCGGGGAAATGGGTCTTGAGCGTGAAAACCACAACAGACGAAACGATCAAGCACTTTAAAGCGCGCTAGGTGGTGCGTGGCTATGACCAAAGGCATGGGATCGACTTCGACCAGACGTTTGCTCCAGTCAGTCACCACACCTCCGTCTGAATCCTACTCGCCATCGCAACCGCAAGGCACCTGCCTCTCCGCCAGATCGACGTCAAGAACGCGTTTCTGTATGCATTAGTAGACGCCGTAATCTACGTGGAGCAGCTGCATGCATACGGCGAAGGGGACTCGCGCGTGTGTCAACTACGCAAGTCCCTTTACGGGATCAAGCAGGCACCGAGACTGTGGTAGCAGTATCTACACAACATTCTGCTTGAAATCAGGTTCAATCAGATGCCCCATGATCCTGGGATGTACCGCCGCAATTTCCGCGGCGAATACATCCTCCTCATAGTCTACGTCGACTACTTGATTTACACGGGATCGAGCGAAGAACTACTGAAGCATTTCGAGAAAAACCTGGCGGAGTGCGTCTACATCACATGCAACTATAAGGTGAAGCAGTTCTTAGGCCTCAACATCTCCTATGCGCCTGAGGCCATTCACCTCTCAGCGGCTAATTACGCAGAGGAGCTAGGAAAGCGATTCAATATCTCACCCGCACCGCTCTCCACTCCCTACCAAACTCTGGGACCGAACCACAAACCTGAAAACAAAGCCCTATCCCCTGCTGGAGTTCAGACTTACCAGCAGCAGCTGGGATGCCTGCTCTTTGCCTCTGTCACATGCAGGCCCGACCTCTCCTACATCGCAAGTCAGCTGGCCCAGTACTCATGCAAACCAGCGGCTGAGAATTTTCTGAACCTGCAGCGCGCCCTACAGTTCTTTGTTTCAACGCCCAAGATTGGGCTGTGTTACTCAACTGCACCAACCCCATCCTTCAACCTCATCGGCTACGTGGACGCCGATCACACAGCAGATCCCGAAAATCGACGGTCCAAGACTAGCTTCCTGTTCCGACTCGAACCAATGGGACCAATCTCCTGGAAATCGCAGAAGCAGGAGTTGGTTGCCTTGTCGTCAGCCAAAGCGGAATTCATGCAGCAGCTGCAGCAGTTCGCGAAGGCCTCTACTTGTAGGAACTTCTGCAGGAGGCGAAAACTCCAGCTTCGCTCACCTTTCGTCTTCACTGCGAGAACCAGAGCACGATTCGCATTGCGAACAAACGTGGTTTTGTCAACCGCACCAAGCACATAGCGCTGCGGCATTTCTTCGTGAAGGACAAAGTGGACAAGGGCAAGGTTGACTTGACCTACTGCCCGACTGGTGACATGGCAGCAGACTTTCTCACGAAGTGACTGCCACGCCAGCAGTATCAGCACTGCTCCGAACTCAGCGGAGTGGTCAAGCAGGTCAAGTCGAGCTGCACCCAGGAGTGAAGGGGGGTGTTACGAATAGTAATGCCTGAACATCACAAGTGCACTCCTCACCGCAGCTAAGGAAACACGCAGTAACGAGAATGAATGCGAGGAGTCGGAATTCACTTGAAGCGTCAAACGGTTAGAGTGGATCTGGATTGTTGGAGTAGATAGCATCAGGCAGCTGCAATCAGGAGGAATTGGGTGGGAACAGTTTTCGTAACTGTACGCGCCGCATGGTTGGGAATAAATTTGAATAAGGGAATGTACCCCTTAGAGTACATGGCTAGCTAGGTCGATCCATATTCCCCTGTACTCTTATTTATATTGCTGTATCTGTATGTTTTAATTCATCTCAAGCATTTTACATTCACTCTGCTATTGAGGTCAAGGGCCCACCTAGTCCACCTATTTGCGTGCAAACATTCCTGAGAAGATCTTGGCAGCGATCATCCACTGATCGCAACACAACTCATAACACTTGGTATTAGAGCTACTTTCCTAGCTCATCCCGCGTTTTAGAGTGTAAAACCCTTCAGGAGCGGGGGGGACACGGAAGGATGCCATGGGGTGTAGGAGCTGCGTAGTAGACGGCCAGGAGAACTGGTAGTTGCTCCTAGCGGCCATGATTTTTGTGGCGCTCCTTCGGCATCGACGGATCCCTTGCCCTCAACGGTCGAGATGGACCGTGACCTCCCTCCCCCTGGGTGGTGGACAGCTTTTGCTGTCGTCACATTAAATGCGTAAGTTAACATTGTTCAGAGTCATTGCTGTGTAGCAGCTGACGTCGGCAGATTCATCGTCGGCACACGTCTGAAATTGTCAGAAACATGTTTGTTGTGAGTTGGCATCGGCACGTGATCGTCAACTGCGCACGAGATTTTCGGAGTGGTTTGCATGCAGCAAGTGACATCGAGCGTCTTCGTCACGTTGCGCATGAGTCCGTTGGAGGTCTTCGGCAAGTGGCGCATCGTCACAGTGCGCAAAGATTTTGGCTAACAACACGTGGAAAACGGCTGCTGGTCGAGCACCCAGACGCAAGGTGATTTGCAAGAGGGTGCGTCGTGGGCGTTTTTTGGCAGGAGCGGCACAGTGTGGGAAGGAAGTTATTTTCAGACCACCAAAAAGTTCGGAAAAGGCCGCCTATGGCTAGACTATTTGCGTTAGGGTCACTTCTGCGCCTACAACAAGTCGGAGAAAATTTCGGAGCAACAACAGCAGCCGACAGTGTACTTCAGGCGACATGGTTTCTCCTTGATCAAGAGAAGTTGCGCCGCAAACAGGGCAGTACACCGGTGGGACAACGGTTTCGCACAGCGTATAGACCCACAATTTTCGGGGGTTCTACCGGCTACAATATATGGAGTTGTGGGAAAAGCGGGTGTGGCGAGAGAAACGAATTCCGAGCTTCAGGAGGCGAGAAAACGGCCTATAGGAAAATGCTTAAGCTGATGCTTAAGTTTCGGCTAAGCGGCGGTAGCCATGATAGGATCCATTAGCGGCAGAGATTATCGAACGGCTCACATACCTCACACCAGAATGCGTCAAAGGCAATTAGTAAATCCTGTGGGCCCTGGACGAAAAAGGTGGGGCCCTGTGTTTTTAGCCCTAAGCTGGTTAAAAAGGTGGAGGGATTGCGCTAGTTTGACAGCTGGGCGCTCAAGAAATTTTCAAGCGATACTATTTCGGCCCCGACAAAAACGGACCATCGGCAATAGTTACCCTGCCAAAAAAGTTGGATTTGATAAAGTTGTGGCAGCTGGCAAGGTTTATCCTAATTCAACGGTCTACCTGATGAAGGTGTAGCAGCGAAGACGGAGTTCCCGAAGCTGCGGAGCTTTAAATGTGATAGGCACGGTGGGCAGCGAAGCGGTCGGCTGAGAGTTTGATATGATCAACTTGCTTCGACTACGCGTGCCTTAATTGAATACCAAAAATATCGCGGGCAACACAGAGAATACCTCATCCGACAAAAGCGGACGCTAGGTGAATGGCAGCAAGCAAAATTGTCGGGGGGGTGAAGACAAAAAATTTGGTGGGAAAGTTGTGGGTGCCTCTCCAAGCTTTTTGAGTGATAGGTTGACCCTGTACACCACTCCACTGTGAATTTCAGAGTCTACTCTGTGGGCGCCGGAAGGGTTGTCAGATTTAGGCATTTATATGCTCTAGGCTGTAGTGGGGCACTCCCCATGGGGTACAGACCATTTAGGTTTTGCTATACAAACCCTGTAGTGCTGTCATTCTAGTCATTCTTCCTTCCTACTTTCTGACATGGTTTCAGAGCAGGTTCCCTAGTGGGAACGTTATTTTTTAGGGCCCACCACAATATTTTTTTCCTGCCCGAAGCGCGCCTCGCGCCTGCCTCACCTGGACCGTCGCGCGCCCTGCTCTACTACAGCCCGTAGCAGCCCTGCCCTCCCGGCCCGTTGCGGCCCTGCCCCTATGGCCCGTCGCTGCCCTGACCTAGCCGCCAGTCGCGGCCTTGCCCTGTCGCCGCCCATCGCGGCGACCTCGCCGCCCGTCGCGGCCCTGCCCTGCCGCCACTTGTCGCGGCCTTGCCCTCAACCGCTTGTCGCGGCCCTGCTCTACCGCCGCCCCGTCGCGGCTCTGCCCTGCAGCCGCCTTGTCGCGGCCCTACTCTTCCGCCGCCCCGTCGCGGCCCTGCCTTGCAGCCGCCTTGTCGCGGCCCTACCCTGCTACCGCCCCGTCGCGGCCCTGCTCTGCTGTTGCCTTGTCGCGGCCCTGCCCTACAGCCACCCCTTTGCAACCCTGACCTAATCGCCCGTCGCGGCCCTGCCCTGCCCCTGGTAAGCGCCCGCCTTGCTAGGCGTGCCGTCACGCCCGCCTGCCTACCGCGCCGTGCCGCCCAGCTGAGTCGCGCTGCCCAGCCGAGCCGCGCCGCCCTGCCGAGCCGCGCCGCCCGGCCGAGCCGCGCCGCTCTGCTGGACCGTGCCGCCCTGCCCTACTGCGCTACTACTGCCACCATGGCTAGCCCTACTGTTCTTACCTTCGATGCTGAGGGTCGTGCGGTAGATTTCGACGTTTGGGTAGATGACCTGTAGCTCTATCTTCAATGCGACTCTAGGGACAGAGTCTAACTTTTCGATCACACGTCCAGCACCTCTGTTGCATATGCCACTGCTGACAGTACGATTTGCTCGTAGTGGACTACTCGTGACGCTGTTGCTTGCCTTGATGTTCGTAGTCACCTGCCGTTTGCTGAGAGCGCGCACTTTGGCCAGTACAAGACCGCTAAGTCTCTTTATGACGCTCTCGTTGCGTGCTACTCCTCCCCTACCACTAGTGCCCTCGGCCGCCTTATACTGCGGTACTTGTTCCCTGACCTAGCCGCCTTTGTCACAGTCGCTGACCTCATCACTCACATCCGCACTAGTGACACCCGCTACCGCGCTGCGCTTCTCTCCGAGTTTCGCGCCAGGAACCCCCCCCCCATGTACATCACCCTCTTCTACCTCGTCACCCGTCTCCCTGACTCTCTTTGTTCAGTCAAGGACCACTTTCTCTCCCTTTGCCCCACTAAGCTCACCATCGACCTGCTCGAGGAGCGCCTCACTGTAGCTGAGACTAGCATTGTCGCTGTAGGAGCTTCTCGCGGCGACCCTCGCACCCCTTTCTTTGAGGGGTGTTCCCCCGTTCCCCTTTTGCCCTCTCTTGCTTCTACTGCTGCTGTCGACCTCGTTGGCACCGAGAAGGTCGGGGCTGCGTTTGCTCCTAGTGGGAGGCGCCGCAGCGGCAAGGGCAAGGGGGGCAAGGGTGGTGGAGGGGACGGCGGGGGCGGCGGTGGTGGCAGTGGAGGAGGCGGAGGGGGTGGGGGTGGAGGTGGGGTTGGTGGCGGGAGTGGGGGCGTCGGTGGCGGCGATGGAGGTGGTGGAGGCAGCGACAGCGACACTGGGGGTGGCGGCGATGGTGGTGCTGGTCAGCGTGGAGGCTTTGGCGGTAGCCAGAGACAGCAGCAGCCGCGTTCCCGTGAGGCCCCATTGCCCCAGCAACCTCGTAAGTGGTACGTTGGGCGTGGGAGGTCTGGGGGTGCTGATCCCTGCGCTTACGTTCTCCGCACCGGCGAGCGCCGTGGGGAGACGTGCAGGCTGCCACACATGACGCAGCGCTGTTTCGGTCGCCTGTCTGACGCCTACCACGCACACTTTCCTGACGTCGCTGAGCTCCCTTTTTGGGCTGATCTAGTGAAGTCTAATTTTGCTATCTTTGATCTTGATTTCGATGCCATCCTTGCTGCCATGTATGCTGTGACAATTAGTGCTGAGGGTGACTGTTACCTATGTGTTCCGCCCAATCCGGGCATTGAGGCTGCTGCTTTAGGTGCTAGTGATTTTGCTGCTCCAGGTACTAGTGAGTCTGCTCTCTCAGGTACTGCGCCTGCTGAGGCCTTGTACACTTTCACGCTTCACTCAGGTGCTTCCCGCTCCTTCTTTCGCGACAGCACCACACTCACGCCGCTCAGTCGCCTGGTTGCACTCTCCATGGCGGACCCCTTTGGGGGCCCAGTCCTTACGCACTCCTCAACGAACTGGTAAGTGAAGCTGACCTCCAGGACGTGTGGGTTGACGAGTTTACTCCTGGAGGTCAGCGTGTGACCCACTGTTGTCAAACATATAGTTATATGTTATAGTTTGGGTAGGCTTTATTGGGGTACTCACTGTGGCGTACAACCCCTTAGGTTATACTTTTGTACCAAACTCTCGATAGTCATCCCAATCCCTTTACTCTCGACATGGTATCAGAGCAACATAGGTCCTGAGGACCGTTTTACGAGTGTTTTTCAGGGCCCACCAACCGTTTTTCGCCGGTTACCAAATTACTCCGCCCGCGCTGTTCCCTGTGTCTTCCTTGGCTTTGTCCTTGACGCGCCTGGTTGGCAGTTTTACCACCCCACCTCTCGCTATGTCTTCCCCTCTCAAGACGTCACGTTTGACGAGTCGGTTCCCTTTTACCGTTGCTTCCCCTACCGCACTGCCCCTCTCCCCCCCCTGCCACACTTCCTCGCTCCAGGTGCTCCCCAGGTAGACCCCCTCCCGGCTCCCGGTCCTGCTCCTTCAGGTGTGTCCCAGGTAGACCCTCCTCCCTTGACTGCGCCGGTTGAGGTCACTGGTGACTCGGGTCCTGCTGAGAGTGGTCCTGCTCGGGGTGCTGCTTCTGGAGGTGCTGAGCCTCGGGGTGCGGAGCCTGGGGGTGCTGAGCCTAGAGGTGCGGAGCCTGGGGATGCGGAGACTGGAGGTGCTGAGCCTGGGCGTGAGGAGTCTGGGGGTGCTGAGCCTGGGGGTACTGAGTCTGGGGGTGTTGCACCTAGGGGTGCTGACGCGTCTGGTGACCAGTCTCCCTGTAGCAGTCGTCTGTGCAGTCGCTTTGCTGGTGCCTCGCCGCTGCACTCTCGTTGTCAACTCCCTCTCTCCCCACAGCAGCTGCTTGAGTGGTACGTTGGCCATCAGGGTCGCGCCGCTGGAGCTAGGGGCCCTGCTCCGGGAGGCGCTGGAGCTTGTGACTCTGCTACTGGAGCTGTTTCTGTTGGAGGTTCTGGAGCTGCTGAGGGTGCTGGCGCTGGAGGTTTTGGAGCTGCTCAGGGTGCTGGCGGTGGAGGTTTTGGAGCTGCTGGAGGTGCTGGCGCTGGTGGCGCTGGAGCTGGAGGTTCGGGAGCTGCTGAGGGTGCTGGCGCTGAGGTATCTGAGTTTGCTGTTGCACGGTCTCCTTGGAGTAGCCGCCTTTGTCCGCGTGTGCCTCTCACCTCACAGGAGCTGCACGACTGGTAAGATCGCCGTCAGGGTCGCGCTTCTGGAGCTCGGGGCTCTGCCGCTGGAGGTACTTCTGCTGACGTCACTGGAGCTAGGAGTGGTGCTGGTCCCGGAGGTGCTCGTACTGGAGGTACGGGAGCTGCTGGGGCTGGAGGTGCTGAGCCTGAGGGTGCTACTGCTGGAGACCCTAGGACTGGAGGTGCCGGTTCTGGGGGTGCTGCTGCTGGTGGAGCTGGTCCTGGAGGAGCTGGAGGTGAGGGTTATGGAGCTGCTGGAGGTGCTAGAGCTGCTGAGGGTGTTGGAGCTGTTGGTGCTGGTGGCGCTGCACAGCCGCGCCTGTTCTTTGCTCCACCGTCTCCGTCGTCTCAGCCACTGTCTGACTCTGTGCTTCGCCAAGTTCTCAGTCTCCCCTCGTCTACTGGTCTTCCGTTACAGCCTGGCTCACTACTGCGTGCTCCTTCTCCTTACAATGAGCGGACAGGGGGTCTTACCGAGCGTCGTGAGCCTGCATCGCGTCCTGTCTCGCCTGTCCGTCCTAGTCGTTCCGGTCGTCGTGTTCCTCGGTCGCGTCATCCAGCTGTCCCCGGCACCCACCTCGTTGTCCGTCGTCCTTCCTCTCCTTCGCAGCGTGTTCCCCTGCCGTCCCCTCCTGCGTCCTCTCTGCCTACCGTTCCTGAGCCTGAGTCTGACCGCACCCGTGCTGCTCACCCTACTATCACGCGTCTGCTAGCCACAGTTGTCACTGATCCGTCGTTTGAGTCTGCTATTGCGTCTGCCTTAGTCGCTAAGCTTGTTGACTTCGCTGCTGCCTGTCGTCTAGACTACGCCGCTAGTCTTGTTGCTGAGTCTGAGTCTGTCTGTCCTCCGTCCGTCGGTGGTGAGTGTGCTCTTGGCACAGACGTCCTTGAGGATAGGCAGGAGGACCTTGAGTGTCTTGCAGACGTTGCGCCTCATCTCGTGTCCATGCTACTTGCCCCTAAGGGAGACCCGGATGCTCTAGACATCCCGACCCCGCGCTCTTACGCTGAGGCGATCGCGGGTGAGTACTCCTCTTAGTGGCGGACAGCCAAGGACGCAGAGATGGCATCTCGGAAGTCCACAGGCACCTACGTCGACGAGGTTCCCCCTCCTTGGGCGAACATCGTTAGTGGCATGTGGATTTTCAGGGTGAAACGGCCACCAGGTTCTCTGCCTGTCTTCAAGGCTCGTTACGTTGCTGGAGGCTTCAGTCAGCGGGAGGGTGTCGACTTCTTCCAGACCTTCTCCCCCACCCTGAAGATGACCACTCTTCGGGTACTGCTGCACGTTGCCCCTCAGCATGACTACGAGCTTCACTCTCTTGATTTCAACACAGCTTTCTTATAGGGCAGCCTGCACGAGGAGATCTGGCTGCGCCGCCCTCCTGGCTTCTCTGGGTCATTCCCTCCTGGTACCCAGTGGAGCCTCCGGCGGCCGGTCTACGGTCTCCGCCAAGCGCCACGTGAGTGGCACGACACACTGAGGGTTTGCTCTGTCGACTGCTGAGGCGTTGCTGTTTCTGCGCATCAACACTACGCTGCCGACGTTCTACATCCTCGTGTACGTTGACGACTTGGTCTTTGCCACTGCTGACACTGAGGCTCTCGCCTTGGTGAAGTCGGAGCTGCAGAAGAGACACACGTGCACAGACTTGGGTGAGCTGCGCAGTTACCTTGGCTTGCATATCACCCGGGACAGAGCACGCCGCACCATCACACTGGCTCAGTCACACATGGTGCAGCAGGTCCTTCAGCGCTTTGGCTTTACCTGGTCCTCGGCACAGGCCACTCCTCTGGCTACAAGTCACTCACTCTCAGCTCCACCTTCGGACGAGTCCGTAGAGCCGAGTGGTCCTTACCCAGAGCTAGTGGGCTGCCTCACGTACCTGATGACCTGCACTCGTCCTGACCTTGCGTACCCTCTTGGCCTTCTGGCTCGCTACGTGGCTCTTGGTCGGCACCGAAAGGTGCACATGGATGCTGCTAAGAGGGTACTACGCTACTTGTGCAATACATTAGACATGGGGCTCGTGCTTGGAGGGCGGGGCGACGTTGTCCTCACTGGTCACTCGGACACTTCTTGGGTTGACGACTAGGCTACGCAGCGGTCGTCATAGGGTTACACCTTCAGACTTGGCCCTAGCTCTGTTTCTTGGCATTCTACTCGCTCGTCTTAGGTTCTCGACTCCAGTTGTGAGGCTGAGATTTACGCCACAGCCATGGCTGCTCAAGAGTTACGCTGGCTCACCTACCTGCTGACCGACATGGGAGAGCGGCCTCGTTCTCCTCCAATGCTGTACGTCGACAACAAGGCTACCATTGCCTTGTGTGAGGAGCACAGACTGGAGCACAGAACGAAGCACATCGCTCTGCGTTACTTCCTTGCTCAAGAGTTGCAGCAGCGTGGTCAGCTTCGTCATGCTTACATGGCCACTAGGGCCATCACTACTGATATATTCACCAAGGCACTTCTGTCTGGTGATCATCAGCGTTTGTGCACTTTGTTAGGCCTTGTGCCCACTTTTCCTCACTTGCTGTAGACGTTGCTTGTATTGTGATCTATATATATATACGTGCATGCTTGCTCTTGTAGGTAGAGATCACTGTGCTGTTGTTGTTACATATATATCTCTGCATGTGAACTGGCCATGTGGCCTGTTGCTTGTGCTCAGACTGCGTGGTGACGTTGTGATCCACCCTGAGCTTGCTCTGCATTTCTCGACTAGTCTTGTGACCCTCTATTCTCCCCCACTTTGCCTAATGGGGTGTGTCAAACATATAGTTGTATGTTATAGTTTGGGTAGGCTTTAGTGGGGTACTCAGTGTGGGGTACAACCCCTTAGGTTATACTTTTGTACCAAACTCTTGATAGTCATCCCAATCCCTTTACTCTCGACAACTGTATGTGTACTCGGACGGGCCACCACCTGGCCACGATCAACCGTCGGCCTGGGTCGAGCCTGTACACACTGACTACTGAGTCTTCTCTAGTTACTGAGTCTGGCCTGGTAGCCGCGTCTGGTCAGGTATTTGCTGTTGCGTCCAAGTCTGGTCCGGAGTTTGCCCCCTGCTCGTGTCGTCTCCTGTCACACCAGACTCTCCTTTGGCACCATTGCCTTGGTCACCCCTCCCTGCCTCGTCTCCAAGGTATGGCCTCCTGTATCCTTGTCACTGGTCTCCGTCGGTCTCTCCCTCCCCTCCCACGAGGGCCTGCTCCCACCTGTGTTCCTTGCATCGAGGGATGGCAGCGCGCCGCTCCTCACTCCTCCGAGTTCCCTCCGACGGAGGCTCCCCTGCAGACTCTCCACATGGACGTGTGGGGCCGAGCCCACGTCCGTGGTCAGGGTCACGAGCGTTACTTTCTG